CAAAAAACCCAACCCACAGCAAAACCCACCCAGATCCATACCCCAAAACTCTATTCAGATTATACATATAAAAAAACGTGTCTTCACAGATGACAACCGTTCAATTTATACTTCAGGTCCTTCTCCTCCAGGAACCAGCTATAAAAGAACAAGACAATTTTACGTTAGGGCTACAGAGATTTGAGTTTCATGAGCCCATATGTGACAGTTCTTCCTTTACAGCATTTCAGCAGATGGAAACTTCATGGTAGACCACAACAGAGGTTTTTAGATTCAATATTATCTTCGTCTCCCAACACACAAAGTCAGTTATTGAAAGAGAGGCAACATGCCAATAAGCAGCTCCAAAACACAAAGTATGTTTAACAAAACAGAAAGGAGATCCTAGGTAACAGTTTTTTCTCTAAAATGTTTTTTATTCACTTCAAGGAGACTATTCTGCCTAGAAATGCTACAGCTCACTTTTAAAAAGGACAAAACACACGCTTGCTCTTGTGAAGCATTTCTCCAGTTGCTGGTTCTTCTCAAGACTGTCACTATATTGGGAAGTTGGTTTCCTTTTCCAACTTTTCCAATCGCAAAGCAGATCCCAAAAAATTAAAAAAGAACCTGAACCCTTCTACAGGCAGCTGAAGGTAAGCATAGCCTTTTCCTTTGGAGAAAGTAAAGGACTGAACAATAGAAAAAAAATACAGAAAGAAAAACATAAATATAGTAAAAAAGAAGGGGACAACCACTACTTTTATTGATGCATTCTTAATAATTAGCTGAGCACTTCTGAAGAAAAAGAGCTGCACTGCTTTGAGGACTGAAGTAAGAAAAAGTCTAAAGCATAGAGAGATGTGTCCCCAAAAGACACAAGATATAGGAACATGTCTGTGTCTTGCTGAAAATTTGCAAGATTCACCAGCATCTGCTTCAAAAGCAGTACATCACCAGGTTAACTGGATGGCAGTTACTTTACACCATAGGAGAAGTCAGAACACGCACTACCCTTTAAGGACACAGAACGATAACTAAAGCAGAAAAAGGCCTTGAAATTAAGTCAAGAGAGGACTTGCTCAGACACAGAGTGAGGAGATGCGATGTAGGTAAGACAGCAGCAAGATGGAGATTCTTCCTCATTCACACAGAGATGACAGACTCAGGTCAGTCCTCCTCTTCCCAGAAAATTAGCAATGGCCTTATGTAGAAAGTCCACACTTCGTAGCTACTTACGCAGACAAGCAAAGAAACTACTGTGGAACTGTTTGTGTGCTATTTAGGAAGCTCCAGAATTCAGCTTAGAGATGCATAATCACATTATTTAATTACTGTTTCAGGACTGATCTACATACATTAGCACATGACAAACTAAAAATCAAAGTGCTTCTGATTTGTTATAACCCAACAGCCCTCCAAGTGTTTTTTTTCAGAGCACATAAAGGTTCAGCTTTCTGGACATCACATGTGATCATAATCACTAAATGATCTGAGGAGCCTGTAAACATCCAAACTGCTGTAAACACATCTATATAAATGATAACGGATGAAATGTAGATGCATCCCACCCTACACATTTATGCAGGCAAATACTCATGAGTTAAAAGCCTCTGTATGAACCAGCCTGCAGAGTGGGCAACAAAGCCAGTGATTCCCTAGCACACCTGAAGACCAGAAAAGCATTAATCAAAATAAACTTAGGGCTATGCTCCTTTCATGTTTGGGGTTTTGGGGCTGTTTTGTTTCTTAGTTTGTTTTAAACTATAACATGCACCAAGTAAGGCAGTAAGATCACTTTTTCAGCATCAATCCATACACACCTATGCCCCAGAAGCTACTTGGAAGTAGCTTCTGTAATGGAACAATCAGGAAAGCTCAGCTTCAAGTAGTTGATTGATGTACAGGTGCAGAAAACAAATGCACACAGCCTTTTACCAATGATGACTTACCATGGTTATGTTATTTCCATTTAGCAAAATCTGGTCCAGCTTTGTGATTCTTCTGCCCTCAGGTGTAATCTCACTGAGGTACCAAGAAGAAAAAGTAAGAACACACAACCAGGAACAATTAATAGTTTTAAGTACAGATCTGACATAAACATCTCAATCTTTTGGAACTAACAAGTAAGTCAGCCACACTAGAGCTTTATCTTGATAAACTGACCACCTGAGCAAAGAAATCTACTTGGCAACTAATAAGATTAATTGTGCTTTTCTGCTCAGAACCTAACTATACAGATTCACCCTCTAAATCTTGGCAATTTCTTGAATACCATCCACACTCAAGTGATTTGAAATAGCCAGACAGCAAGGCAAAATAATAAATCCTTAAGTCTACAATCTTTTTAAATCTTTGCCTGCACCTTAAGGAAACATAAAAGCAAACAAACTTCTGAAAAGTTCAACACACAACCCACGCAAAATTAAGGCTACAAATTAGGACACCGATTAGAAGTGTCCTAATCATGCAACTGCAGCTCTGTGAGATGATTGTCCTGAACAGATCACCCTCTATAGTTTAAGTCCAAGGTACAAATTATTCAGCTGGCAAGTATTCAAAAAACATAAATACATTGTTCACAGTTCTTATACAATGTTTTCTCTCAAGAAACCAAACCAGCAACCGGAGGCAAAAATCATACTTACAATTCTGTAACGTCTTCTAACACCATATCTGAAAGTTCGTTGTCAGGGAAAACAAGGCCCATCATTTTAAAATATAAATACTTAAAGCTAATTTCGCTTCTACACCGAACTGCGATTTTCTTTACAAAATAAAAATGCGAGAAAAACAAAACCACCCCAGCCA